TGATAGGCGAAAAATGGATTCCAGCTTTGAAAATCAAGTAAGTAGGAATCTCGCCTACAGTATAAATAGATTTTAAAATAAACAGTACACATGAACTATATATGTTTGAGTACATTTAATGTTATGAATGCTATGCTATGTTATACTACATACACTTAAGCAGTACACCCGAATTATATGTGTTTGAGTACATGATATAGTATGCTATGCTAGGTCATATTGTATACACCTTAATAAGTCAAGAGGAACTTATAAGAGTAATCTCAGTTGAGTGCCGTATCAGCCTCCACAAGGGAGGTAACTCAAGCTCCGCAAACCCTTGATTGCGCGCAAGTGGTACGAGCACTCGGGCCCAAAAGAAAGATAAGATAAGATAAGATAATAAGATTCTGATAAGACATCATAATTAAGCATAATTGGCTCATGCATATTTATTCATGTGAACTTACAGTTATTTTGCGGGAGATAGTTCGTACTTGCTGAGTGAAAGCTCATTATAGAATGTTTATACTGTAGGTAAGCAACCGGCATATAATGCCTGATGGACTGCCGGCGAGTGGACGAACGATGTGGGGCTCGGGATATGGATACCGCTCGCAAATATTTCTGCAATCAGCTTTATGTTATAAATAGTTTTGTTAATTATGATTCTGAAACATATATGTTAAGGTTTGAATATTTTAATTAAGAAAGCAATTTTGTATCTTATGTTTATTATAAGACCTTTTAAAAAAAAAGAAAAATGTTCCGTAAATTTTAAGAAATTTCAGTAAGTACAAGTTAAAAAGTTAGTTACAGTGGCGGTCTCAAAGGAGGGTCGTCACACATTTACACTCCAAATCAAATATATCTAAGATATTTCTTCAAATCTCTTCAAATCAATTATGCAGCAAACCACTTTTTCATATGAGCATATTTTCTCCAACAAATATACAAATCACCTAATTTGAATATGTCAATTAAATCTTCCAAATCTTCTCTGAAATGTCCTTCCAAATATTGAGTTCCATCAACAAAATCATTCCAAACTCGGAGCAATTAGCAACCAAAATTATCTCAATATCTGAATCTACATCAATCATGAATTTGACCTTATTTTTGAATTTTATACAACCTAATTCCAAAACATGCAAACTAATAAAATCATATCAAACTACTAGAGAGTAAAGATTGAGATCATTAGTATCCTTGGTTGCATTCATCTTCTGGTGATCTGGCATGTGAATAAGAGCATTATCAGAATTAGATAATTGTAATTGATTTGTACCAACTAAAAAATGCTAAAACATATCGATCATCCTGATGCCAAGAATGATGATGAAAAAATCATATTGGGGAATCTATTACAAGAATATCATCTGCCTTTTACATGCCTATGTTCAGGTAATCTTTGCCAGAATCTATTGTAGGCTGAAGATGAGACACATGTGAGCATCTTGACGTCTACGTGAAATTCGACTTATTATCTCCTTTTGAAACATCGAGTCATGACTGCCAAGTATGAGAAAAAACCGAGTTAGAGTAGCAATATGAATAAATGCATGCAGCTATAAAGCCCACTGACTAATATGAGCTTTGTATGGTAATTTTTAAAATAAATCAGTTGAAGAACAATTACATTCAAACAATTTAAAAAACCAACTAGACAAATTAGTGATTATATTTGACAGAAGAACAAAAAAGTGATAATGTCCAAAATTATATTTTAAATAGTTGTACAATTTATATTTATTATTTTGGTACCCAATTATTACACTAAATATTTTAATTATGATTAATTTTAATATAATAAGTACACAATATATTTTTTAAATTGAAAATATCAAATTGATTTAAAGAGTATATTAATATTTTTACACTTTTTTATTCTGATTCTGGGTGTAAGTACGTATGAATGAGATTTGGAATGACTCCGATTCTGAATCCTATCACTAAGTAAACAACTTATTCTGACTCCGATTCCTCACTCTGAATCCTGCCCACTCTGATTCATGCTCATTCCGATTACGTATAGGTAAACATGCCATAAAACTAGTCTCATTTTTATAACAGATGAAAAAATGATATGCTCCCAATTTGTCTACTAATTTTGTTGTGATAGCTAGACTACCTTTTAAGATCAACTAAAAAAAAAAAAAAAAGGACTGCTATGGTCTACAAGATCTTGTTATTGACGATGACAGTGTGGAAGCATTTAGTTTTCATTCTAATATACCATTTCGAGCATATTTTGTTTCACTCTCTACTTTCTCCTACTTTTTGGTAACAGGATAATGGCGCGATGCTGTAAATGGTTATCTACAGTAGTTTAGACCAACTTGGAAACCTATCCAAAAAAAGAAAATAAATTCCGAGTGAACACATAAAAGAACAATAGTATGAGGCACCGATAATGTTTAGCACCACCCACTAATAAAAAGAACGTTAGTTTATTAGTTGTGGTGGTGCTCCGTACATATTTTAAAAATCTAAAAGAGAAGCTATTTTGAAGTAGAAAGCAATATGAGGGCCCGTTTAGTTCGTTGATTCGAGTTTTTAATTCGAGTTGAGATGTGATTTTATGTGAGAGTTTTTTACTGTAGCAAAAAAGTTAAATGTGATTGTTTGTGAGAGCTTTTTACTGTAGTAAAACTCAAATTCTAAACTCAAATCAGCGAAATGAACAGGGCCGCAAGAACTACGCACTAAAAACGATTAGCAACGGAAATGATGGGACGTGCTTATTCATGTACACTCCATGTATCACAACACGTAGAATAATGCTAATGGCTGATCCGTAAAGCTTCTTTAGCAAGTCTTTGAGTAGTTTATTAAAAATAATAAAAATAAACGGGATTACGCCCGAAACTTTCTGGGGAGTATCGGGGAAAGAAGACGAAAGCAAATAAAATAATGAGGATTTTAGACCCCGTTTTCAATGGTTTTTGTTTTTAACAAAAACTCGTCTATAGTTATGTCATCATGTGTGCGCGTGCCCTTTTTTTATTTATTTTTGGTTAAAAGTTATAACTCGTTTTAAAATAATTTTATTTTTTGTATGAAAAAAGAGATAAACATATTTTTAATTTCAGACAGAAATCATTTTTAAAAATACGTTTAGTAATTTTATCAAGAGATTATTTTCAGTATAAAAAAATCCATTAATGTCTTTCTCTCTCTTTGTACTCGAGAGAGGAGAAAACAGAAACAAAAAATAAAAAATGACTAAAAGTTATTTTTCATTTCTCTTTCAATTTACACTAGACTAAAAAATCATTTCATTTCCGTTTTTTGTCTTTAATTATGCCAAACGCCGTTTTTCTCCCGTTTTCATTTTTTCTTTCTCAAAAACGTGAAAAATAAAAACAAAACCAACTCCAAACATGGCCCATATATCTGTGTTTAAAAACACTTGTGAAACTTCTTTGAGTTTGAGTTTGAGAAATTTGATGGATTAATGAGCATACATCTTTTCAAAGTATTTAAATACATGTATCGATTCAGCCTATTGGCCAGATCTCAATAGCGATCTCTGCCTAACCTTGGTACTCATCCTAATTTGTTAGCCCGACCCTAGTGGCGGTCATTGACCATTAGCCTGACCCTGGCGATGGTCTTGACCCCATCGTCGATCCCAATTCGCGATACAGATCCTAACCCGTTGGCTACCTTAGTTTTAATAGTGACCACAACAAAACTTTTTTTTTTTTTATGGCAAAACCAAACATTTTCGTTTAAAAGACGATTATAATCATTAGCAGCCCCTGAACTTTAGGATCATTTTCAGTTTACCCTATAAACTTTAAAAACTCTCACTTTACCTCCTAAACTTTAAATTGTTTTCACTTAACCCTTGATGTTGTAATTTTTGTTAAAAAAATAGAATAACATAGTCACGTGGCATTTATGTTTAGATTTATGTTAAAAAAATATATGAAAACCACATGACCACGCTTAACCTCCTATTTTCCGTCTGATTTTACCAGAAATTCTTAAAAAAGGTTTAAATGGGACAAATTCAAAATTCAGGGATAAAATGACAGTTTTTAAAGTTTAAGGGATAAACTGAGAATGATTTTAAAGTTAAGGGGGCACCAGTGATAATAATCTTTTAAAAAAATTGAAAACACAAAATTTGTGTTTCCACATTAAAAAAAAGAAACAAAAAAAAAAAAAAAACAAGATCACTAATTTGTTTTCAAGCAATTTTTCACATTTTGGCTTGTAAAACAAAAACTTGTTTACATAAGGTTTAACCTGAGTACAAAAAGGTAAATAACAAAAAGAAGGAAAAAAAAAAAAAAGAAAGAAGCCAAATGGAGTAGGTTTATAAAGCAGCAAAGTAGTCTAAACACTCAGACGATAGACTTTCCTGATCAACGAGGAAATTCTATGATACTTTTTTTTTTTTTTAACAATAACAAAAAGACCTTCTAGAAAGTTTGATTATTTTTTATTCTTCCGTATTTAAGTGTAGAAGAAGCTGGGTTGGAAATTTCTATGATTCTAATCAGCTCCTTCATCTCTACTATCCAATTAATTCATTTCCTATACTAATTCTCATATGTCAGCATTAGTAATTTAGTACGTACGTACATATGAATATGTAGTCATCACCGAGAGCAACGTTTTCTTGATTATTAAGCAAAAACTAAGGCCTCGTTCATTTCACCATTGAACGAGTTTTCTCGTTCCGAGCAGTGATTACTTAACGGATTTGCAGGTTATATATGGACATGTATGATGTCTTTGTTAGCTTTAGAGGAGAGGATGCCCACGAAAATTTTACTAGCTTTCTTCATGCTAGTTTAAATCGCGGGAAAATTAAAAGCTACATTGATATTGGAAGCAGAAGAGATGAAATTTCAGGTCCATTTCTACAATTAATCGGAGAAACAAAAATGTCACTGATTATCTTTACGAAAGGCTATGCTTCTTCCTCTTGGTGTTTGGACGAACTCGTTCATATACTCCGGTGCAGGGAAACAAATAGACAGATTGTTGTACCCGTTTTTTACGATATGAATCCGTCGCATGTTCGGAAACAGACTGGAAGTTATGGAGCCGCATTTTTCAAACACGAAACGCGTGTTAAAAACCACAAAAAAGTGCAGGCATGGAGGGCTGCTTTGAATGTAGCAGCTGGTCTTTGCGGATGGGATACAAGGAACTCTTGGTAATTTGCATATTACAGATTTTACTTGTGTAGTTAATACAGTAGTAATGTTCCATTGATTACGTTATAAGAATGCTTCTGGTTTGCTTTGTTTTTTCAGGTTTATTGCAGAGTAAACTTTATACATTCACATATTTCAACATATATAGTTAAGTGTCCATAAGTAAAAGAACATACTCCAATCATGATAAATATACAATTATAGCAACTTCTCACGCTGTTACTGCAATGTAATTTTTTCATTATTTTTTGTGTGTCAAAAAAAATTGTTTTCTGGTGTTGGTTATGACAGGGTCTCATTCATTCAGCTAAACTTATGACATTACTCGCGTACCTTAAAATTATGTTATGATGACAACTTCCTGCAGGTCGAAGGCTAAGTTTGTTAAGGAAATTGTTGAAGATATTTTGGCAAAAGGAATTCCATCAAATCTGAATATTTCGATCCATTCGCTTGGATACAATCTCAGTCATGAATATCTAAATCTCTTCTTGCAATTAGGAGTTGATGATGTTTTGGTAGTGGGGATTGCTGGGGAAAGCAAAATGGGAAAGACAGTGATGGCCAAAGCTATCTTCGATGGAACTTTTCAGGGTTTTGATGGCTGCAGCTTTATAAGTGGTGTGGGACAGAAATCAGCAAAAACAAATGGTCTAGTTCAATTACAAAAACAACTTCTCTTTGATCTACTAGGAGAGGATATCAACATAACCAGTGTAACAAGAGGTACAGCTTTAATGAAAGAAAGACTTTGTCACAAAAAGGTTCTTATTGTTCTCGATGATGTGGACGAACTGCACCAATTGTTTGCTCTAGTTGGAAGGAGAAATTGGATTGGTTTAGGAAGCAAAATCATCATAACAACTAGGATATTGCCTTTGCTTCATGACTTTGGAGTAGATCAAATATTTATGGCTCAAGGGAATCCTCTACCACTTGATATCCAAGTAACTATTAGCTTTTCTTCAACAGTGCTTTTTGTTGCTATAATTCATTAATAGCTAGAAGTTGGATCAACTAATACTTCTTGTCTAGGAAATCTGGGAGCCGTACAAACAAAGTTGTCACCAAATCGCGGGACTAAAGGAGTATATACAAAGCTACTCTTACTTGGTAAGCAGTGGACTCACCACATTTCTCTAGTTTGAGACTTGACAGACCTCATTCTCAATTACCATCTCCGTTTCTTGATTTAGACCAATGAGAAAGTGAAGTACCTTGAAGAATGTTTGATCAGAGAACGCAAGCAGGGTGAAATTCAGGTGTTTCATCTCATGCATTGAAGTATTCCAATAAATACTTTTAAATTATGTAGGTGTTATGTGTATATACCATCCATGGATGACTGTCTTGCAGGCACAGATGATACTTGAGCTGAAGCATGCCTCAGTAGTTAGATTTCAGAACTAATAGTCAAGGAAGAATAGCAAGTGGTCCTTGGAAAGTTCAGGAGGGATTCGCAAATCTTCCAGACGTAGAGCACACAGGGCCTTGAACTCAAATACATTACCTACAATGGAAGTCAACATGTTAGCAACAAAACCTTCTTCAAAAAGTTATAGAGGGTAAGCTACACAAGTAATCTATTGATTTTCTTCTCCAGCAACGGGCTCGATGTTGTAGCATTGACCTTTGTAGTGATCAAGACCAGTAAGCCCGTTATTCCATACAGTTGTCCATGTACCAATAGAAGATTCAGCAGCTACTGCAGCCCCTGCTTCTTCAGAGGTAACTCCAGAGAAAAAGCACATGACTGCTGTATATTTTTCTTCTTCCATTAATAAAACCAGAATTTTTCAGTATATATGACCAAGGCCATAATTTAGTTCGAGCTAGGGGCCCCACATAAATGGTCCCCACACTGAAAACTACCTAATATCTCTTTGCAGAACCAGCTTTGTGCGGAGCCAAATACAATCGTGCGGAGCCAAATACAATCGCTTTTATACTGGCTGAGGTTTGAGTTATGTCAACTATGAACATTTTTTTTTTGGCAGAAATGTCACCTAAAGAACTTTACAATAAAGTGGAGTGTACACAAAGCTGTATAAGAGATAATTTCTAATTCAAACTATGGTAAAAGGAATGGTGTACGCTACAACCAAGGCCTTAATCTGTTGCCTGAATCTGCCTCTATCACATCTTCGGTTTCATTTGCGACACGCAATCACTTTTCCTTCTCCTCTTCACAAAAGACACTATCCTAAATTTAAGTTTTCTTCTCAAGCTCAGAATCCAAAATGGTCCCATAACTAGTACTAACATTACAATCGTGACTTGCAGTTTCATTTAGGACGATATCCCTTGTTTTGGTAAGAGCAACCAAATGAGGAACCTGATCCTCTTCCCTTTCTAACTCGGCAATCATTTGTGCCTAGTAAGCAGAGAAAACAAAATTGGATGTTTTCTAGTTTGAATTGAGTTTTTTGTTATAACAATCATACCTGAATTCCATTCTTCTCCTTCTCTCTTTCTGTTTCATCCAAAAGAAATCCTCTCTTTTCTTTGAGCCTGAAGAAATAAGCAAGCAGAAGAAACATTTGAAAGCAGATTGATGTTTCTTCTCTTTTATACTACTTCTGGATCGAAAAGAGCTAAAATCTATTAAGGCCTTACTTTCATATTTGCTTGTTAGCAAAGAATAAAGGCTGAAAACAAGAATCATTCACTGGAACTAGTCATGTTTACTTTATATACCTCAAGAACTAACTTCTGAAGAACTTCCTCAAGATGTTCGATCGTTTCAAGATTTTGTCTATATTTGTCCTTTATGATCTGCATTGTCAGAAATTTGTTAACGCAAGGCAAGAGCAAACGCACCTGATAAACCAAACTTGGAAAGTTTACCTATATGCCTTTTTTGGGCCATATACATCATCTGCTTCAAGTATGCTCAGCAAATTTGCATCTCCAGTTGTAATGATAATTCTGCTTCCTGGACCGAACCAATTGCGCGTTCTGGCTAATGCATTTAGTTGTTCAAGTGCATCAACGTCATCAAGAACCACAAGAACTCTTCTGCTTCATACTGCAGCTTGAATCATATTGATTTCCCTGTTAACATCTTCTATTTGCAAATCATGATCATGATCATCATCCATTAAGATATCATAAAGTAGTTGTTCCTGTAATTGTACTAGTCCATCATGTTGTTTCGAAATCTCACTCACATTGGCCAAGAAACTGCTGCCCTCAAATCTAAGAAAATTTTGATTATGTACAGCTTTTACAATGCTTGTCTTGCTTAACGTGTCTGCTCCCTATACTCCAATTGCGAGAACAACATCATCTGAGATAGCACTTAGCAAGTGATTTAGGTCCTCTTTGCCATCGTCGTCACTTTGCAGTTGGAGATGAAGAGACATGTGAGCATCTTGACGTCTACATTTAATTTGGTTTACAATTTCATTTATAACTTTTGATACATCTGCCAAATATGTCAAATGGGTAATCGAGCAATTAAACACAAAAATTTAACAGTCAACCTGTAGATGCAGCTTCTTGGCCAACTCATGAATATAATGTATAACTGTTTCTCAAGTAAAATCAAATGAAGTTTAACTTGTATCAAGCATCCAGTACAAGAGAGAAACTGAAGTGCTTCTTACGTTGGAAGATTTCTAATTCAAAGCTCCTTTCAAAGAAAGGTGCCCCTCAGTTCAACAGTTCAACTCATCTGTCCCACTTTCTATTCATAAGAGACAGAAAAACGTCTCACGTGCATTGTATTTGAGGGTAAAATCGTAATTGAAATTTTAGTGATTTGCACCTGTGCCCCTGAACTTTGAAGTCGCCCCCAGAATTTTAGAGTTGTCCCCATTTTGTAGGCCACGAAAGTATATGAAAAATAACCTACAAGATTTGAAAGATAACCTACAAGATATGAAAAATATTATGCAGATTACAAAAAATAAAAATAACTTACAGGTTACGAAAAGATAACATGTAAGATATTAGTGGCACAAGATAATTTAAAAACAATGGCAGAAACAAAATAGTGTTACATCTTTGATGGTTTTTCTAAATATTTCTCGTTCGTCTATTGGATCATCCATTGTACCTCCATTGCGTTACATGTAGGGGCCTACACCTTCATTTGACACAGTAGATTCATCTTGTGTGTACACTTGGCAACATTTGAGTCCCAGTTTTGATGTCACTTGTCAGAATCATGGGCTAACTCAAAAGATTAACTTAATGAATAGAGTAGCCCACTCCCTTAAAACCCATCAACTCTCATTTAGTACCAATGTAGGACTTGCTCACACCTCTAACAGTGCTACATCAAGACTACTGGTATATATTTACTAATCATTATATAGGTCGTCACTCGTGATGCTATAGCGCATTAGTTAGTGGTGCATATAGTGTCACTTCTTAATAAAATAATATGCTCAAGATAAAATTTAGATAGTGGGGTACTAGCTTTCTGAATTAATTATTGGAAATACGGAAAAAATAAATGATTCTGTGACCATGTAAATTCATCATCCTTTTCTGCAACTCTGATTCCATTTCACCAAAATAAAGTACCGAAGCTGATGGACCATATCACAACTAAAAAAGTGCAAATGGAGCATTTCTGGTCAAGGATTTAGTTATAATTAGGCCTGAAATTGTGACTGCTACCTCTTTTACAGCAACAGGTTTACATTTACCATCGCATTTGGATGTCTCAGAATTCTATGGCACTCTTTAGAGTGCACAAATTTTAGCAAAGAATGCAGGCTTCAGGAATCACTAGTTCAGAGAAACATTGAAACATTATAGAAAATCTTATGCGTGAGTGAGTGAAGCTGTTAATTTTTGCAGCAAATGTGCTCAAAAGATAAAGACTTTTAGAAAGTAAATATGCGTGTAGAGATATGCATGTATGTATGTGCGTACGTTTATATATATGATTTTAAATCACTGCTCTTAAGACCTCTGTAACACTCTTCCCTTCAAAAGCCAAAGAAAAAAATAAATAAATTAAACTAGTGTTATTGCTCTAGTGTGAGTTTTCAATGCTTCCTCATAATCAATTGATACACAAACTTGCTAGAAATTTGTATCACTCAAGACGTGAACAAAGTTTCATCTATTTATTAAGTTCAAGGACATTGTAAGCACATTTAAAATGATTCTACTTAAAACAAAGTTCCATCCTCTCCCAATCAGCTTGAGATTGGAGCTTTCCTTATTATCTCCATATCAACATGAACAATAACAAAACACATATTAAAGCAAGAAACTTAAGCAAATTACTTTGATTAAAAGCTATGGTATTCGAAAATCTACTTGACAAGTCCCAAATTGAGAATTCCCCAGGCAGTTTGAGGCCAAGACTTTTCTTTTGCCTTCATAACCAAAACTCTAGCCCATGCAACCCAACCTTCCCAAGACATCCTCTTGTCCCAAGGACTCCCCCACTCCAAAATGAGCCTCAACCCTTTTTCAGCCTCTCTCTCTGCCTCCTCAAACATCATTTTCCCCAAATAAACTTGACCCAAAACCACATGTGGCTCTCCAACAAATGGGTTCTTCTCAACACACCTCAAAAGCAACTCCTCTGTTCTCTCCAATCCTCTCTTTGACACATCACAAACAGCTTCCCAATACAAATCTCTTGCCACTATTTGATCTCCTGCATCCAAAATCTTTGTGCAGTTCTCAAAAACGGGAGGAATTACAAGCTCCAAATCCTCATCATCTCTTTGATCATGATCATGATCATGATCATGATCTCCACAAGCCCTTTTCCTCTCTTCAACAAAAATCTCTTCCTCTCTCACAATCAAACTATAAAGAGCTCCCATTCTCGATATCGAATTCATCCACAAACCCGGCTTCCCGTCGCCCGGCCAAAGCCCTCCCGCAACATTGTTCCCCTTAAACTCGAGCCTCCCATTATAATTCTCAAACAAAGCATCCTGAAAACCGAATATCTGATCGCTGAAATCCGCCATAGTCATCATTAAAAACACCGCGACCAGTCTTCTTGACACCTTGACATCTTCACCATTCTTTATGTGCTTCACAACAACCCCATCACTAGGAAGAACACAATTTAGTTTCTTCCTCCAGCCTTCTTCTCCGTCGAAAACGCCTCTTTCTTTCGCGTTCCTCACCGAAATCTCCGAAAACTTGAGGTGTTCGAGGAGTTCCGTCTCGCTGTAATGGAAGAGAAGATCATCGTGGATAAGAGACTGCCTCGGGACGACGCAGAAGAGGTGGATGAGCCTCTCGGCGGCTTCTCCGACGAGCTTAGCCACAACGTCTCGTCCGGTTGACGGGTCGAAGATGGCGAGGTTTACGTAGGAATTGGAGTAAGCCGAGTGGAATAGGCCACAGAGACAGACGGAGTCTTGGGCTTTCCATAGCTTGAGAATTCGGTAAGTGTCGACGAGGTGGTCGAGGAAGCTGCCGTGCTTGTGCCAGCACTCGCCGGCGCCTACGGAGCGGAGGACGGCGACGAGGGAAGGCAGCTTTTCGTCGATGGATTCGAGATCGCCGCGGAGGAACGGACGGGCGGAGTCTAGTACGGTTTGGAGGTGGTGTTGGTCATTTTGAGGTGGTGGTTGTACGGAAAGTGGTGAAGAAGATGGCATGGTTGGTGATTGTTTTTGGGGATTTTTTTTTTTTTTTTTTTGGCGGTTTTGATGACAGGGAGATTTTTTTTGGAAGAAGGAGGAGGTGACAATGGAAGAATAAGAGAAGAGACGTGGTGGAGTTATGATATTGAATAGTAATTTGTTATGATTTGGCGTGATCTGTTGGGAAGAGATAAGATTTGCAGTGACTTTGTGAATTTGTGTTTTTAATTTAAGTTAAAATATAATATTTTATGAGAATTTTTTATTATAATAAAAAAAGTTAAATGTGATATTTTTTTAGAGCATTTTATTATAAAAACTTAAAATTAAAAATTTAAATCGGTAAAATGAACAAGGCTTAAATTTGTTATAATAAAAAAAGTTAAATGTGATATTTTTTTAGAGCATTTTATTATAGAAACTTAAAATTAAAAATTTAAATCGGTAAAATGAACAAGGCTTAAATTTATTTAATTCGCTTATTTGAGTTTTTAATTTGAGTCGAGATGTAATTTTGGAGACGTTTAGTTCATGGATTAGAACCATGTGATTAGAATTATTTTCAATTTACGTGTATTTTTTATGAGAGAAAATACTGTAGCGAACCACGAACCATGATTCGAATCCCCCAACTAAACAACCTCTTATATACGAGTTTTTTTATTGTAATAAAAAAGTTAAATATGATTATATTTGAGATTTGTTTATTGTAATAAAATTTAAATTCTAAACTCGAATAGGTGAAATGAATAGAGCCTTAATTTATTTATTCGAGTTAAGATGTGATTTTATGTGAGTTTTTTATTATAATAAAAAAATTAAATGTGACGGTTTCTGAGAATTTTTTACCATAACAAAACTCAAATTTTAAATTTAAATCGGTGAAATAAATAGAACCGAGAGTTATACCGCCCTCGGGTTATGAGTACGGTATAATTTTCCTTAGGCTCATGGGATGTGAGGTTTAATGAAAATTTTCATGGCCTTGGGCTCATGGTTTAATGAATAATTTATTAACGATAAAGAATATAAAAGAAAGCAAGGTATATGCAAGTTACTATCTTATTTGTAGGAGTAGATGCTAAATTTGAATTATAACGTCAAAATATTTTATTTTAATAAGAAAATATTCTCCAATCAGAAGTATCGCTGAATGCTAAATTTTGCATATAATTATTTCATTGTGATTTTACGTAAATAAATAGTACTTATAGTTCAAAATAGAAAAACATTTAAAATATGATTATATATTAGACTTACAGAACCTAACAATATATTAAATTTATTTTTATACTTTTATGTTAAATATAACGTTTTCATTTTTCCGTTTGCATCGAAAAAAATATTTACATAAAATAACAAGGTTAATTTGTAAATTTATTATTATTATTATTATTATTTATGAACGTAAACAATCAAGCGTGATATTTGGATTTTTGTTTCTGAGTTAAAGTAAGTACCTTAAGAATAATCAAATTTCCCTAAAAAAAAAAAAGAATAATAACCCGTTTGGTTCATGGATTAGAATCATATTATTAGAACAATTTTTGATTTACGTGTGTTTTTTATGAGAGAAAATACTGTAGTGAACCATAAATTATGATTCGAATCCTCCAACCAAACGGGTTAACTGGTTAACATGTGAATCATTATTGTCACCCACGATTTCAGTGGTTGGATGATTCGTTCTCTAATTTGAATAATGGTTCATGGTTCGTTACAGTATTTTCTCTCATAAAAAATACACGTAAATCGAAAACGGTTCTAATCTATGAACCAAACGGACTAATATTTTTTTTTGTTGAACATCAGGGAAAGCAACGCATGTGTTTTGTTTTTGTTTTGTTTTGTTTTGTTTTTTTGTTTTTTTGTTTTTGAAAAGATCAATTCTGTGCCCAAAAATCACGAGCTGTGCATGATGCGTCCGACACGCACAAGTGTCATATAGTTTTTATAATTTTTTTTATGTAATTAAATTTAACATGATTTTTTATGTAATTTTTTTATGCTCTTGAAAGACATTTAGGTTCATTTAGTATAAGGATTCAAACTAGAGTGATTCTAATTATGATTTTAAAATTAGAACTATGATTTATGATTTTAGATTCAAATCATGATTTTGAAACCATGATTCAGAATTAGGAGTTTGAATCAGAATCACTATAAACAAACACTGATTCTGAACTATGATCCAGACTCATAATTCTAAATTTATCTACCAAACGAACCCTTCGTAATTTTGTATAATGGTCCAAATCTGATTTTAAAACTCAATTTTCCTATTCTACCTTTTTTCAATCAACATTCTCTCCCCTTCTTTTCCTCTTCTACCCAAATCTCTATCTCTTTCTTTCGTGAAAACTCAAACTTTAAAAGTCCATAACTCACTCATTTCAAATCAAAATTGAGTGATTCTCATTTCTATGAGTTCATAACAACAAGAAGAACGAGATGCCACTCCATATTGGACATTGTTGATTTTTAAAACGATTTCAAATGTGGAAACATGTATGAAGCAGATCGCGTATAATAAAAATTTTCATAAAACTTTGAGATACTCTACTTATGATATTATGTTCTTTAATATATTGAGTAATGACACATATGAATAGTGTCAAAGACTTGGTATATTGGGAGCATAGTAAAGTAAATAGTCAAGAATATTAATTTACAAGATGAAGTCCATTCCTTTATAATGAAGTAGATGGATGGTTCCCATAAGTGTTGATTCGGTACTTGAATAATAAGAGCACTTAATTTTATGATTGGATCATAATATATATTATTCATTAGAGGATCAATGATACTTATGGACAAAGATATAATTAAAAAAGTCAACGGAAAATACTTAGCTTTAATTATGAACTGTTTATGGAGGATTAATACGTATGTAGTGACTATATCAATAGACAAATAAATTCTGTGAACATAATTGTTTTATAATTTTAAGAGTGTAATTCCAAATTTATAGTGGAGTAATTTGAAATTAATAATTTTGATATATTAATTATTAAGGTGTTAATTAATTGTGAAAATTATTGGAACTTAAAATTATAATATCCATATGCTCCATAAGACTAATGTGAATTACATATTGAGTTATGTTCATTAATTTAGAATTGAGAATTTTAAATACACATATTAATTAATTTAATTAATTAATATTAAAATTAATTTTAAATTATTTTATATTAATAAGGATGAATCTAATCACTTTTATGAAAATAGGAAAATCTAACTCTCCACGTTTCTCATTAAGAGAAAAGTTTTTATTTTTTGACCAATGAGGTTTGACCATAATACAAATAAATAAATAAAAAAAAAGCACAAGAGATGGGGGGGAGGGTAAAAAAAATGTCACATCTAACTTTTGAGTTTTTAGTTTTTAGTTTTAGATTTTTATAGTGAAAAGCTCTTAAAAAATGTCACATCTAACTTTTTTTGCTACAGTGAAAAGTTCTCAAAAAATGTCACATCTAAACTCGAATCTGTAAAGTAAACGAGACTAATCTTACTCTCCTTATTAGGTGGCGCTCTCTTGTTTTTTTCCTCCTAAAATTGAATCTGACTTTTGATATCAAATCCTACTAAATCTAGACCGTTGGATCAAAAACACTTATTTGGCTACCTAGACTTTCATAGATAGAATCAAACAATAGTAATTCCTCTGTTGTCATCTATTTCAGTATACTTTTAACACTGGTAGCATCCAACATTTCTAATGATTGTATGACATGAGTTGGCATAAATAGAGTCTGTGCAGTTCATGGATTAGAATCATAAGATTAAAATTATTTTTAATTTACGTGTGTTTTTTGTGAGAGAAAATACTGTAGCGAACTATGAACCATGATTCGAATCAGAGAACGAATCCTCCAACTAAACGGGCTCTAAGACTTGTTTATTTTATAAATTTGAGTTTAAAATTTAAGTTTTATTATAGTAAAATATCTTGTATCGATATTTCTAAGTTCTTTGGTTATTAAATTGCGAGATTTTGGATTAATTTTCTCAGTCTCTAAATTGACTTGTCGATTTAGACATAAAATTTGTGACTTCAATTTTAATCTTTGGATTTCCTTTCTCACCATGATTTCATACTGAAATTTCATTACGTTTACTCTTAGTTTTACTCTTCGTTTCATGTGCGGTGCAATTTCTGCCGTTGAAATTCTAATAATTGTATCACGCCGACTTCTTTAATTCTTGTCAATAAAATAACACTGATACAATTGAAAATGTATTAAAAACACGTAGTAACAACAAGATGTTTCGCTATAATATAAAAGTACTAAATCTTCTTTACAATAAGTACTTACCAAAACAAATATTCTAGCAGTAAAAGTCTCTTTTTGAAATTGTTTATTGTTGTACAAATATTTTCCATGTAAATAAATTTTTTTGACGTCTTTTAAGTAATCTTTTTTTAATAAGTAATACTAATTATTCAAATTGGGTAAATTTTTTAACGTATAACTTTTCTTTTCTTAAGAAGCTTGCTTGGAACATAATTCATGAAGTGGGTGATAGTTTTGCCTTTTTCAGATGCAGACATTTTAAGAATAGATTGGAGTCAAAATTGTCTATCCGTTCATTGCATCGATTCGAGTTTAGAATTTAAGTTTTGCTACAGTAAAAAATTCTCAGAAATAGCCACATCTAACTTTTTTACTACAGTAAAAAGCTCACATAAAGTCACATCTCAACTCGAATTAAAAACTTGAATCAGCGAACTAAACGGGATTATCTTATTCTTAATTCCTGTTCGCTTATTGGTACCAACCCTAAGCTGTCTTTTCTCTTTGATAATTGGTGTGGTGTTGTGTTAGCTGATGCTATAGGGATTCCTCCTCATCTTAATGCCTCTTTTTAAGGCTTCAGTTAGTGATTTTGTGCTGGATGGAAAGTGGAACATTCAAACATTTTTTAAGATTGCTTATCCGGATTGTTGGAGTATGACTGGAAAGGTTGCCATTCCAATTGATTCAGATGATTGTTTGATTTGGATTTCTTCTAGGTCTAGCAGTTGCTCAACTAAGAATGTGTGTAAGATTTCTCATGCTAGGGTTCCTCCCAATGGTTGGGGTTATAAAATATGGGCGCACTATATTCCCTCATTTATCATTTTTTTTGTTTGGAAGTTGTTGTATGAGAAGCTTTCTGTGGATCTCACTTTAAAGACTATTGTGTCTCGTTCATTTTACCGATTCGAGTTTTCAGTTTTAAGTTTCTACAGTTTAAAACTCTCAGAAAATGTCACATCTAACTTTTTCTGCTACAGTTAAAAGCTCTCAGAAAATGTCGCATCTCAGCTCCAATTGAAAACTTAAATTCGCAAAACGAATAAAACCTTGGTATGCAATTTGTTTTAGCTTGTAGTTTTTGTGGAAAAGGGTGGAGAGTCTATTCTTCACCTACTTTTGGAATGTCATCATTATTCTCTTGGCTTTGGAATTGAATTACGTTGCTTTTTAATCATAAAGTTTCACGTACCAATGGCATTGGTAATTTTTGGATTTCTATTTTGAGAGGTAATTTAAGTCCACTGGTCAAAAAACTCTGGATCTTTGTTTTTATGGCTGGTTTTTGGTTTGTTTGCGATCTTAGGAATAAGGTGCGTTTTGAAGGGGCTGGTGTGAATCCGTTGGTTGCCTGCACTTATATTCTTGATTATCTCCAGTCGTCTAAATTTCTCAACTTGGGTTTTCTTATAATTATGTTTTTTTAACTTCGTATTCTCAAGAAATTACATGTTTGTCAGATTTTGCCTCGAAGTCCTAAGACTCTTACAGTTTATTGGATTCCTCCTCTTTCTGGTGGGTGAAGGTTAACACTAATGGTTCAATTTCAGTTAGAGGAGCCCCTGACTCGATCGCTTGTGGTGGAATTTTTAGGAATACTAATGTTATGTTTGGTAGGAAGGAAAAAAAATAGGATAGAAATGAAATATGAAAGTGATGGAAAATAACAATGATGGAAAGGAAATTGATTTTCTTTTATGTTGTTTGGTATGAGAAAATGAAAAGAAAATGAGCTTACTTTCACTTGTTTGGTATTGGAAGTTAAATTGGGAGGAAAGAAAAGATCTTACTCGTAAATTACTTTTATACCCTTAAATTTTTTACTTGGATGTTGATAGAGAAAAGGGTAGTTTAGTAACTTTGCTCACTTTAATGAGTTATCCCTATTTTTCATCCCATTTTCTGCCCACTTGTGGAAAGAAAAAAAATGGTGGACCCCACGTGTATTATTTTTCACTCTATTTTCTTTTCCTTTCTCTTTTCTCTCATACTAAACAACTTACATTTTCAATTTTCCTCCCAAAATCCCTCCACCTTCTTCCTTCCTTCTACTTTTCTTTCCTACCAAACATACTCGGGTTTTGTTTGCGGTGTTGATATAAGTTGTGACTTGAGAGTGATTCTTCCTTGATCATTACTCTATTGAGTTCGAAATCTTTGCTTGGAGGTTGCACAATGACTAGAGCAAGGTTCTTTCTTTGTCTAAGAGAAAGGATTTTCGTTTTTCTCATGTGTTTCGCAAAGCTAATGCGTGTGCTAATAAACTTGCTAATCTTGAGATCATTAATTATAATAGGATGTGGTCTCATTATTCTAATTTTTAGAATTTTTATGTGTATAAGGATTATATTGGTGTGCTTTTTTATGGATTCACTTGATTTTTATGGTGGTTGTAACATTTTTCTCTTCTTTAACAATATGAGCCTCAATTGAGGTGATATTCATTAGAAAAAGAAACAAAAAAAAGGTAATAAGCAAAGTAATGCATTTTTTTTTACATTCAAATTAAATTTAAATTTGATATTACTAGAATATCCCTAAATTCTATACCCTATGTTGATGATATGCAAAGTTCTATTACAAATCATAACAGAGGGACCTTTTCAGTTTACACTTTATTCTTCAAGGGGGCGGACGTTACATTTCAAAATTGGTGTGTGTGTTGGGGGGTTGTCACATAGGTCATTATTCAGAGGAATTTTCATGTTTAACATATCTTTAAGGCAGTTGATGTTTTTACAAAGGAGTCATCTAGCCTAAATTTCTTTAAAATCTAAAAAAAAAAAAAAAATGGTCTTATTGATGGAAGCATTGCAACTTCTCGTCAATTCATGGACCAATTTTGAACCTATTTTGAGTTTTACGGGGCCAAATGAGACAACCCTATTCTCCAGGGATAAAATATGAAATTAACCCTTAAAAAAAAAAAAAAACATGAGCTAGAATGATAAAATTGAGAATTTGTACTTTAGTTTATTAGAATTTTGAATTTGAAGCAATCAAGTATAAATGAATTTTAATCTGTATATATATATATATATATATATATGCATGTGTTTTTATATATTATATAAAAGCAGGATATCATTATCAAACAGAGAACGTTGAACAACCAAAACAAGCAGGTCACGCAAAGGAGCCTAAGAGAGAACAAAAACTACCCTGTTACAAATACAAAAAACAAATTACTAGTAATAATGTTGGTGAAAAATACACTAATATGTGCAATCTGAAGCAGTAATTTTTATGCCACTGTTTCATGCTGGTTACTCTGACCAGTGAGTGTATTTGGAAAGAATCATGAGCAATCGAGGATTTTTCCAATTCAAATTGAAAAACTTAACTAGGAGTAATTTGCCCTCCCACAACTTCTCTAATCCTTTTCTTGTTCTATTCTAAAATTACTAATTTAATTTTAAGCATTCTCAAACGTTCTGTAACCAACAAAAAGTTCAATTATTGGATCTACCTTAAAATGTAAGATTTTCATTGGGATTTCCCAGACACCTTGGCCGGAATCATATTGAGAGCCTTCATTAGGAAAGCCAATGTGAAGGCATCTTCTTGGAGCTTCTCAAATCTGAACCCAACAAAATAGAAAGAAACAACAATTACGTTACCAAGACTACCAAAGAAACTTTATATTTCAGAGGTGAATCTAGAAAAGAAAGTATCAACATGTACAATATCTTCATCACTAATAAGTCATTGAAGAGGGCCAGTATTAAATTAGGTGCCCTCCTAACCTTGATTATAGAAAGGAAAAGAAAAAAAAAAAAAAAAGGAGAGAGAGAGATAGGAGAAAGATTTTGGGCAAGAGTTAAATGTTAAAAAACCCGGAAATATTATCATCCAATTATAATATTCAAATCTTAATTGTCATTCTCAGTTCACTTTAATCGTTGTGCCACTACAAGGAGTTGCAAAAGACAATGCAACTAAAGGAAACCATGGAAATTGGTTTCGAAGCATGATTTTTCTATACAAGGAAATCGAAGTCACTAGTTAATTACTGGCTAAAAACGCTTGTATCAGCAAATAAGGTAAAACAGATGTAAAGAACCGGCAGTGTAATTTTTGTATAATAGTTCATCCGCAAGAGTGTAATGCACTAATTTCTGAAAGATGTAGTAATGAAAGAGTCATCAGAATTTTGGTTCGATTCATACTGTTTCAACAGAAGAAATAAACAGGAGGAAAACACATCGATAAAAATAAACTCTACTTAACAAGTATAGCCAGAAGACTTTACCTCCCTGACTTTGAAAAATGCCCAGCACCAAGTTCACATTTAAACAAAAGAATATTTTCATCGGTCTTCATTTCCCTTAGTTTTGCCACAAACTTAGCAGGTTCTGAATACATGACTCGCGGATCTGTTTCCAATAGACCAGAGTATACCAGATATCAGACTCAATGCTAGGAAAAGGCAGGCAGACTAATTATACATATGCTCTCTATCCAGGCATGGAATTAACAAAACAATAAATAATATGCTGACAAAGATTGTGACCTTAGATAGAGATTCCTACAATACTAATAAACTGGTACTGACAAATTATTACATCAAGGGGCATGTTAACCAAACCATAATGGAATGTAATCGAAAAGGTAGTAGATTTAGAAAGGAAGGTAAAAGGAATACAAATGGGAATCATTGACTCAACACTTGTCCATAAGGATGTGGAATGAAAACAATCCAATTTCCTTTCGTATTTACTAAACTAAACAAAATGAATCTTATCAATTTAATTACTAAAAGTTTCCACTTCTTAGGGACAATGATCGGCTTGATAAGGGCATACAAGTAAATTTGATGTTTATTCTAATTCACCAGGAATCAATACTAAGGGGGACTTAGGATTAACATTCCCTTTTCTCAACCCGACATCAAGTGGGCCCTGCTAAATTACTATTCCTAATTTTGTTAGCAAACACATGCACAGGTAGGAAAGAGAAACAATCCCTCCCTTTCCCTTTCCCATTCATATGAAGTAAACATGGCCCAAGTGCTAAGCCTATGCTTACCATTGAGACCGGCTGTAACAAGAATGTTTGGATAGTTTTGAGCATTAACCTGTGGAAGATAGAGTTCGAGATCCAATCATTAGTGAGATAAGCTTCAGAACTAAAAAATGCATGAGCAAATATCACAACTATAAGATCATTTTAGCCTAATAGCAGTTCATATTTGTTGTACTCACATTATCAACAGGAGAATATGACTTCATATAAAAGTAGAACTCTTCCTTCCTAGGATCACCCCATTCCTGCAACAACACTAAAAAAAGTAAAAATTTGACAATACTAGTTGCTTCATGCATTTGGAATGATTTACCACCACACTCATGCACATGATCTTTGTAGTATGAGTAAATATAGATTATAAGTACGTGGGAGAAGCAAGATAACCACATAACATGTAAAGAACCTGCAATGATGAAATTCAAACATAAAAATTTTAATACTACGAGAGATGAAACAACAATGCAGCATTCCCGTGTTCAGGTAGCCTCAAACTTAGAAACAACTTGAATGTGTTCAATAATATTATAAATCGGTGCTCAACTTTCTTTGATACGTGACATATTGTGTTACTAGTAAGGATGACGTTTTGAACTTGTAAAAATATTGAGGAACACCACACCCTAAGTTGCTGCCATAAAACTAAAAATTGTAACTCTTCCTGTATTTGTGGACTTCTTGTTTTCCTTTCCGTTCTAGTTTTTCTCCTATTAATAAAATTTCCTTTTCTTATATATGCATTCCCTTATATTTATATCCTGCAATTTTTTTTCCTTTTCCAAAAGCAAGTACTTGATAGGCCTCCTTTGAGGTTCACTTAAGCGCGCAAGAGAAAGGCAAATATGAAAAAGGGTAGGGACCAGGTTGCTGAGTTGGAGGGGACACCTGCGGTTTCAGTGGGTGACAGGACCGCTGAGTTGGCAGAACAAGGAAAGGAGATTGGGAGCCATGATGTGGGAGGAAAAGCAGGAAGTGATGGTGACGTGTGAAAGGCCTGAGTGCATTGGGATTGGGGTCAGTTAGTTAGTTAGTAGCAGGGAATAAAAATGTGAGCAGGGCCTAGGGATGGGTAACGATCATCTTGCTCAGTGAGAATTTAGTCGAGCCTTGGCTCTAGGGAGTGCAGGGGGTCTCTCAAAAATCCCCATATCTTGTATTCCTTTCCTATTTTCTCATTAGTAACATCAATATAATTTCCGTTGATCAATCAATTTCTTGTTAGTTGCTCTTAAAATTGTTATTCTCTTGCTGGTTCCTATCAGTACTAGATAAACTTTATGTCTAGCAAATTCCACTTTTTAATGTATATGCCTTTATAATTCAATTTCACAAAACAAGAAAAAGTACCTCCCACTCAGAAGTTGTTAGGGGGATAGTTGGATCAAGCATTGTAGTCACAACATCTACAAAAGGCACTCCCGCAACAGCAGCTTTGAACAAATATGGCCTCATGTTAAGAACAGCACCAATAAGCAATCCCCCAGCACTTCTTCCCTCAATACACAGTCTTTCTTTTGAGCAGTACTTTTCTCTGATTAAATACTCAGCACAAGCAATGAAATCAGTGAAAGTATTTTTCTTCTTCAAAAGCTTCCCCTTCTCATACCACTGCCTACCCATCTCACCACCCCCACGAATGTGAGCTATAGCATAAATAAAGCCCCGATCTAACAGAGACAGCCTTGAGGTTCTGAAACTGGGATCTATGCAAATCTGTTCATATGACAAGATTATGAATTTCAAGAGCTCAATTGGCTTCAGTGAATAGGAAAGAAAAAAATACAAATATGAGCATAAGACAGAAAAAGAACCCCCTTTTTCATTAAGTTGGGTGCATGCTGATTGGACTACATGGAAAGCACTTATGCCACCAAACTTTCAGGGTTTTTTTTTGTTGTTGATAAGATTGGGAACAGAAAGTGGTTAGAAGAGTTTGCCGTGGACATCTAAAACGGTTAGTGGTGGCATCAAGGTGGCTGATGATAACGTTGGAGCGGTTGGCGTTGAAAACACCAAACTTTCAGTTAACACTACTATAATATTGCCTTGATCACTAGTTCAACGAAACCTTTTGAGAAAACAAAAATAACTAAAAGCTTAATCGAAATAATCTGGCTTCTTGCACAAGAGTGTTTCGTGGTGAAGTAGCCACAAATTAGAAGTTCACGTAAACGCATGTATACAGCTAGTGAATAGGAAATCAAGATCTAATTTCGATTTTTGACTGGCCTGTAAGCAATACACCACAGCAATGGTGAAAAAATAAATAAACAGCCAAACTTTAGAACACTCAAAAAGTATTCTCAAAATATAATTGCTATGTTGAGCACGATTGCTTCGACACCACTAGTTGAAAACAACAAGTGTAACAAAGCAACTTTTATAAAACATAAAAAACAAAAAACAAAAAACAAAACAAAACAAAAAAAACTTCATACATGAAGACCCAAATAATCAAAGGAAAATTAACACCCAACACTTAAAATTGAACACGAGTATACAACTCTAGCTGACTCTACTTGCGAACTAGTACTCGCTGACATGATCACAAACTATACTTCTCCTAGTCACTGGCATCACTCTTTTCTCTCTCTTTTTTTTTCAGCTGAAATTAGAATTGCCACACACACAATGTAATAATTGAACACAAGTACAACACACACACACACAGATATTCAAAGAATTGAGTACTTAAGTCAAGTGTTTTGCTCAAATTCTTTGTTCGAGCAAGTACTTTGAGATACTTGTACAGATTCTAGAGTTCTGCACGTGTTGTTCTTCAACATGAAAAGGCAAGAACACTAAGGATTAAATTGAAGGGCATAGTATTCAAGAGATAGCGTCAAGACAATCTCATGCAACAAGAAAATCTTTTACAGATAAAGTATGTTCAACTATAACAAGAAAGGATTTATATTTTTGAAAAAAAAAAAGTAAAACAAAAAATTTACGTGGCAGCACCGAATCATTTTGAAAATTCTTTATTACCTCATAAGATCCATTCTTTATTACCTCATAAGATCCATAGCCATAGAGTAGTAAGGGATCAGACCCATCAAGTTTCACCAAGTCTTTCCTATAGACAATCGGTACAGGAATCTGAACACCATCTGGAGCACTAGCCCATTTCCTCTCAGTCACATAGTTCGACGAATCAAAATCTCCCAACACCTTAAGAAAATAATGGCAAAAATAATGCATGTGATACACAAATTCAATCAAATTAAGCATTCTGTGTTTGGTGTGTGTGTGTGTGTGTGTGTGTGAGAGAGAGAGAGAGACAGAGACAGAGACAGAGACAGAGCATAAGCATTATGAAAGTGATTGAAGCTATAATCAAACTGTGCTGCACAATCGTGTTAACAGAAGAAGAAAATTAATTTTTGAACTAGTGATATCAACAGGTTACTTCAGCGATTTTCCATTGAGAACAGTCACTTATTCAGGTACTTAAGAAATATGAAGTACAGGCCAGGGCACCTGTTTAAATCACTCAGAAAGGTAAATATTACGTATTGAAGTTTTTGGAAGAAAAAGGGGCAGATACAAGATAAATAGACAAGGCAACCATCACGGTAATAACCACCCTTTATTCTAATCAAATCACTCCTAGAAATCATAAAGGAAAGTAAATGTTACAGGTTTTGATACCTTAAGCGATGGTCTATGGATGTTTCTTATAAGGAAAATTTAGAAGCATTCTTAAAGGAAATGAAAGTAAATGTTATAGGTTTTGCTTACTTTTACAAATTTGTTGTATAACAAAAAATACTACACAAAACAATCAAAATATGAAATGGTGTTTCAAAATAGATGGTTCCAAATATTTAATTGATGCATCTCTTAATTTTTCAAACCTAGTTCCGCAAAAAGAGTAATTATCACATAATAATTCAAAGCTTTTTTTTTGTCAAAAGGTCATAAATTCTATTTTCTAGACTCCATATGTGGTAACGTCTAAGATATTTCTAGTTTGTTTCTTGCAACTCAGCAAATATACTAAAATCGTTCACCATGAAATTCCACTTTGAACATTTAAAGGGATAAAATCATTCTGGTACCCTCTATTAAAGCAAAACATCTCATTTGTGCTCTGTACTTTTAATAATATTTAAACAGTACCTTCACCTTTAAAGAAATGTACTTTTGGTACCTTGAGATTGATTTTTAGGACATAACATGTCCAGTATACTTGACTCACAACAATAAACTAGTAATTTTTTAATTAAAAAAAATCTGAAAACTTTAAAACATTTTAAAATTAAACAATTAAAATAAATTAAAATGTTTTCAGAAAATATTTTTAAAGTTGTTAGTTTTTATTTAATAAATAAAAAGGGTATTTTGGACATTGTATGTCTCAAAAATTGATTTCAGGGTACCAAAAAAGTGTTTCTTTAAAGGTAAAGGTACCGTTTTAGTATTATTAAAAACACAGGATACCAACGAGATGTGTCGCTATAACAAAGGGTACCAAAGTGATTTTTTTTATCCTAAATTTAAATAACAGAATGGTCAATTCTCTGTAGCAGTAGTGCCTTCAGAGTTTAAAAAACAAAACAAAAACAAAAAAAACATGTAAAAAGAGATAAAAGGAAAAAAAAAAATCTCCAGAGGCAAAGAGTAAAATCATTTCCATTTGAACAGGAATTTAAAAATTTTATAGATACTAAAACAAAACTGTGCAACGCACAGGAAATCCATACATATTTATGCCTGGCTTTATTTGCGAGAGGTGCACATGAACAAATAAAATATAATTCTGATACTTTTAACACATTCCTTTTTTCTTATGAAAGAAGCAACGAAACAAGAGTCCAAATCATTTAAAAAAAACAAAAACAAATAGGAAAATAGTACGATTTCGGAGCTGATTAACATACTTACAGTTTCAATCTTCTTCAATACTTGAATTCCTGTCCTCATATCATACTCATAGACAGATCGAGGCGTCTTCAATGAACTGTAGGAGAATCTTAAAATGCTGGAAGAAAATTCTGATTCTGAGGGATCCACTGAGTATGTAGGATCCAAAAAATCCACAGCCCGACCACCCTGAAGTCCTTTAAGTGGTTCTCCAACATCTGGAAGGCCATAAATAGTAATTTTTTGTAGACCATCTTCACGCTCATATACAACAAGGTGATCGCTAAAGAGGCATATATCCTGAATTTTCACACTGAAAAGGAAAAACCAAAACATAACACGCTTTAAATAATAGAAAAGAAAATCATTGAACAATATCAAGTGGTGGTGAATTGGTGATCCAAGATCAAAATACTCACACACCTAACATGAACTTACAAAATTATACGCAGAAAATTGCATTTAACGGAGGCAATGAATAAGTAATTCATGAGTGGGATTTGTTTATTTCCGTGTTTCACTTCATATCATCTATGATGCATTAGTAATGCATCATTGATGATATCGTGCAAGAAAGGTTTTAAATTAAAACCTTTGAGGTCTACCAACAGAGCTTCAGGGCTGACAGTCTAACAGATAAGTGTCTCAAATGTAAAATATGGTGACGCCTAGTAGAGGCTTTGAGCTCAAATCTGCTATGTTAAGACAACTAAATAAGACGGAATTTTATCCGGGTTGTAAACTCCAGTAAATTCAAGCTCCCACAAAGGTGTCTATCGTTTAGATGTCTACTTTTATAAACCATGGTCATGGAATCATAGTTAGCAAAAAGCTAAAAAAACGAGCTTCTCCCTTTTTTTGTTAGAAATAAAAAAGAAAAAAAAAAAAAAAAACACGTTCGCATATTGCCCTGATGTCACTGCAATCCATTAATATAAGGTCATAATACATATTCTAAATATGGTTATAGATTTAGTCTAGAGGTAAATCCATATTCACCATAAGTGTAGAGTTCAAATCTCTCATTCCCATGTTAAAATAAAATCATAAATGTATCTTTGCAAAGAACAAAACAAAAGAAAAATAAAAGGTCAAAGTTATTACCTTTCTCTGTGCGGAATGAGAATTGTTGTATCAGATACATTATCCAGAGGACAAGCAACTACTTCGGAGTTGAATAACTCCTCACTTCGCCTGGTAATGAAAAAATGATTCCCACGATGGTTAACAGTTGTATCGACTCCAACGACACGAGGTGTCAGCACCACCAGCCCATCTTCAGGCTTTGAAACATCAAGGTAAAAGTTGAACTTTGTCGTTTTACTTTCAGATGCAACAAACAAAAACTTCTTGCTATCAGAAGCTTGAAGATCAACTGAGAATGTATCATCCTTCTCGTGATAAAGGCAAGTGTCACTTGACTGTTCTGTTCCCAACTTATGCAACCACACCTGATAGAACAGGAAAAACGAAGCGATACACACACTCTTATAATTATGAGTGCCTAAACTCATAAATTTCCTGGATCAAAACCTTCCATCACATCCCATCATGTTTATCTCGCTAATTTTTCATTTTCAAAATAGCAAATTTAGAAAATTCTGTAAATAAAACTTATGCCCACTGAACCAGGTGCATCTTATTTTGCTCCTGAATTTCAATTTGTGCAAATTTCTTTTTGGCAACACCTCCTGTCGCAGCTATCAGCTTTAAAATATTTTCCAAAAAACAAATGATAATATACGACAAAATGGGCATAGACAATTAATTCAAAGGAATTCTCAAAACTGTAAAGCTAAAGAGAAATCTGATACGTTATTTTTCTGCGTAGTCCAACTATCTTTTTTAAGAAATTTGTCTTTATTCACCTAACTCTTGCTAATCTTACAAGCTAAATTCACAACTAACCTTGTCAGGTCGGAGAGTCTCATCCATGGTGATGTATACCAAATGCGAATCCCCAGCCCACTCGAGATACGACGTCGTACCGGACAGAGCCTTCCCTACGGTAGCTCCAGTATCGGCATCAATCAAACGAACCGTATAAATCTCATCTCCTTTGGTATCCTCCGCATAAGCGACCAAGTTGTGATTCGGACTGACCTCGTAAGCGCCAATGGAGTAATAAGCGTAATTCTGCGCCATCAAATTCTCGTCCAATATGACGCGTTCCTCAGGAGCGCCGTCGCCGGTCTGCATCGAATCATTGACGGACGGCGGAAGCTGAGCCTGCGATTGCGGAAGAGGACGGCGACAGTGCTGAACATACTCCTTCCCTTGCAATGTCCTCGTGTAGTAGTAGAATCCTCCTTTCCGCAATGGCGCCGAGACGTCGTCTTCCTTGATCCGCGCCCTAATTTCCTTGAACAGCTCTTCCTCGAATTTATTCGCATCTGATCAATCAAACAACGAAAGCTCGTGTAAGCGGACATGATCAAATCGTGAAAATCTACTAAGATTTCATCGTTCGTTGCTTACCGGACATGATCGAATCGGTGTAGGCGTTCTCTTGCTTGAGATAGGAGAGGACTTCGGGATCGGAGCGAGAGTCGTCGCGGAGCCAGTAGTAGTTGTCCACTCTGACATCGCCGAACAACTCCATGACGTGCTTGACTTTCTTCGCCGCCGGCGGCTTCGGTGTTTCGGACGCCATGGATGATCGGAAAAGCTTGGCTCCGACAAGAGGGCGAAATGAGGAGGAAGATGATGAGAGTGAAGACAGTATCAGTGGGAAGTGAAGAAGACCAACGATGCTTATACGACGATTAAAACGCATTGTCGTTGAAATCATCATTTTTTTATTTTATTTTTTTCTTTAAGAAAAAAGGAATTAGTTTAGTATTTTCGTAGTATCATCTTCTACTTCGATTGTTCTTATGCATTTGCTTTTGTTCTGCAATTCCAAAGACTTTATTTTCTGCTAGCATTGAAAGTTCTTTCAATGAATGTGTGGATAAAAAAAAATTTTAAAAAAAGCGCTGATAAGGATTTGTATTTTATCCAATTCATGATAGTTTTGTAGCCGCCAATAATAATGCATTGAGTTCTATATCAAAAGAAGAATGAAAAAAAACAAAAACAAAAACAAAAACAAAAAAACAGAGAGATTATTAAAGTATATTATTGACATTATTGTGTAGTTTTGGATTGTCAGTTTTAAAAACACACAATACAATATATTAATCATTTTTACATTACAAAATTTTCAAAATTATAATAAATGATAATAATGCATTGATCTTTACGTCTGTACGTCTCTATCAGAAATACTTTAATTCACACGTAGTTATAAATATCTTGTAGGTCCCTTTTTTCAGAAAGGTACTAGAAGACTTACAAATAGAGTTGGCAAACATGTCGTGTCGGGCCGGCACGGCACGCTTGATCCCAGGTTCATCACGGGTCTGGGCCGTACCAGGCACAGCCTTACACAGTGTAGGGTTGTGTTTGGGCTGGGCCTGAGAAGAAAAACTCAGGCCCGGTCCAGGCCCTGGCCCTAGTCCATAAGGGTCAGGGCCGGGCTTGGGCCCAGGCTCTTCACGGGCCGGCCCCGGTCTTTGTTTTTTTTTTTAATTTAATTAAAAAAAATATCAAATGCCCCAAAAGATGTGATTTTATTAAATTGACGTAATATGAGTACACGTAAATGACTGCCTCGTTAAAAACCTTGCTAAGTAAAACTCGTGGGGAGATCGAGACAAAACCTTAGCGAAGGAAAAAAGAGTGCAGTAGCTAAGAATAGTAAATTACAAACCTAAGTGCTTCCAGAAGATTCTGTTATTTCTAAGTTAGAAAAATATTCTTGCATCGAATCATCTGTGTATTGTTGTTTTCGTCTTCTGGCATCTTCCCAGTCTTTAACTCACATTAGTCCCTCTAAGATATCTGGATACATTTTGCTTCTCTTCTCGTCAAGAATTCGGTTGCTTGCGCTAAAAGCTTGCTCCGATGCTACCGTTGACACTGGAGTTGTCAGAATGTCACGAGCTATGATGGACAGTGTTGGAAAACGATCTGTCTTGCTCTTCCACCACTGTAAGATGTCTAGTTTGTCGTCATCGATTACAAAATTTACTTCAAAATATTTGACTAGTTCCGTGGACGCTTGTGTTGCGGATGATCCTGCCGTTTTCTCTTTT